CCCCCCCCCCGCCCCGGCCCCTTACGACTGCTGTACATGGCCATCCTTCTTTCTCACAGAGCCGACACAAATGCCTCTCTTTCTCTCTCTCGCATGCCACGGTGATACCGCGTCCGGTCGCAATAATCCCCTCTTCCTCTTTCCCTTCCCCCACACCCCCGGACGTGAACCGAAGGAGACATCGCTATGTCGGAAACGTCGGCGGCGAAACTACATGCCACCGGAAGTTCCGCCGCGCCGTCAGCCGCCGCCGCCGCCGCCGCCGCGACCAAGAGGAAGACCTTCAAGCGCGCCCTCAAGGCGACCGTCGGCGTTGGCCTGGCCGCCGCTTCCGCGGCGCTCGTAGCCCGCTCCGACGACATCGGGGAGTGGTTGCAGTCCGTCGCGCCGCACGTTTTGCCGCACACGGTAGTTGTGCCCGGCGGTGCGGACACCGCCGTCCTGGCGGATTTCGTCCTCCAGGCCATCGCGGAGGCGAAGAGCTGCGTGCAGGAGGGGGTCAACGTCTGCCTGGACGCTGAGGGTCGAGTGACGGCGTTATGTGAGTGGATAGACGAAAAATAGAAGTGTGTGCAGTGTAGTAAGTAGCAAGTGTTCGCTTTGATGTTGCGAGGCGCTATGATTACGTGAGTTCGTGGATCGAGGAAGAACGTCCTGCGGCGTGTGCTCCTGCTGCTGAAGTGCGTGTCCAAGTGTTGCGAGGTTTTGATGTTGCAAGGCGCTACTGTGTAAGTTCGTGGATCGACGCAAAGCGCCTGCTGTGTGTGGTGTATGCAACCAGTGCGCAGCAAAGTGTCTTGGGCTCGATGTTGCGAGATTGTGCGGCATTAGGGGCCGCTCCGTGGTAGCGACGATGTGGGCAAAAAGCCCCAACACGCCTTGACAGAGGTCCTGGTGAGGCCGATCGGAGCAAACGCGGCGGCGGTTTGTGATTTGTCGAAAGTAGGGTGAGGCGTGGGTGGTGAAACGGGCGAGATGTTGTGTGCGAGCAACCGGGCAAAGATCAAAGACGGTTGGAAATCGAATTTTGCATGGCATAGGAGCGGAAGGGAGCAACAGCATGCCATTCGTGAAGCAAGCAGACAGGCATCTGAACGGCGGTTGCTGTCGACGTGCTCAGCTCCATCTGGATAAGTGTAATGAGCAACGTGCGACAGGCGGCAGGCGTTGACGTTTTGATGTTGGTGTCGTACTTGACGCCGGAGTTGAGTTGCACGGCTTCCCACGCACAGCAATATTTGTCCATGCCCCCCCACCCCCACCACCACCACCAAGGAGGGGCATTCTCTTTGTCGGGGTAAGGGTCGTTGTTCCCAAATCCAAACCGTTTGCCATAAATCCCACCTCCGCGCCAGCTTCGACGCTGGGGTTCGTTACTAGATGGCGGTGGGGATACTCTCATGTTAATATTAGTATTAACACACAACGAGACACGGCTGGTATGTGAAATGCAATAGTAGTTGTTTGTCAGTCCCTTCTTGTTGTTGAGCAGTACTCCAGGGAACATAAGGATGGATCAGCGGTTGAGCCCAGACGAAAATAGCTTTGTAAAGTTTATTAGCTCCTCGTCTCGCCTGCAAATTGCGATACACCCTCTTGTGTGTAACTCTCATGTTTTTCCGAGACTGGAGACGTGAGGAACCCTCACCATTTGCTTTGTTCTCGTCGACAGCGCTAGTTTGGACACGCGACTCTTGTTACCGAGGAAAGGCTTAGCCTACTTCATTTCACCCTCTGACCCTGCCTTGCTTACAAGATGCATTTAACCAAGATCAAAGGGCTCGAAGAGATGCATCGACATTCACAAGAATCCGACTCAGTCGAAAGTCCGCTAGCCACTCTCTGGGCTAGACTCCCCCGACCCGTTTGCAACACAAGTTGGCACCCTGCTGCCGCTGCGCACGCTGGGCCATGACAGTGATGAGCTGTGCTGTCGTACGCACCATCGTCTCGATATCTTCAACATGACTTAAATGTTGAGCGTTGACAGAAGGTCCATCTCTATCTACTCCCAATAGTCTCCCTCTCTCCCCGCTTCTTCTTACCGTTCTCGCCGACACTCACTCACGATGATACGTCAACCAATCATCATTTTCGACTTTGAACGCTCCATGTTATCCATGTTTTCAGTAGTCGGCCGCCCTGTAGCCCTGACCTAGAACGACCGTCGGCGTGCTCTCGGTCTTGACCCCGCCTCCTCCCCACGCCAGACACGTTTATTTCTCAGTGGTACTTGAGCCCCAGGCAGCACGTCGTGGAGATGGCGTTGTCCATCCTCGTCCTGTCCCCGCTTGTCTACCTCTACTTCAAGCTCTGCCGAGCGCGGCTGAGGCTCAAGCGCGCGGCGGGGGCCTTCGACGCGAAGAGACCAAGCCTCCTGATGAAGCTCTGGGGGGCGGCGCTGCTCGGCCTTGTCGGAGCCGGAGCGTTCCTCAAGTTCACCAAGCGGGAGCTCATCTCGCACCCGGCGTACCTGTGGCAGCCCTGCCACGTCCACAGCCTCGCCATGGGGCTGTGCGCCTTCGTGGAGACGGAGGGGGCGCTGCTGGTGATGCACGTGGCCACGACCCTGTGGTGGGGGCCGTTCCTGGCGTTCGTGGCGCCCTCGTTGCCAACCGACCCCGTCGAGGTAAGGGATGCTTTTGTTGTGGTATTGTTTTAACACAACAAACCCATCTCTATCCTCAGTTTGCTTGTTTAATTCGGATTTTAGGAAGGGGGGGGGGCTGCTTGTAGGTGGTGGTAGTTTTTAAGAAGAATCTTGCTGCATCCAGGAATAGGCACCGTGGGGCACTTCCGTGTGGTTCGACTCTGGGGAGAAATTGCTTGACAATGATGTAGAGACTTGGAAAATGTGAAGTGCTGTGACCTCCTAGACCTGATGATGACGAGCCTCAGAGATGCACATTGCGGTGATGGAGCTCTAGCTAACTACCGCCCGCCCTGACACTAGCAACTTTTTTCTCTTGAAAGATTTCACGTCCGCACGAATGACAAGGAGAGGTGTCCCAGCCGAATGGGAGGGTAGACAGAGGCGACAACACGATCGATTTGTTTGCCGCTGGTGACTCTGTATGCATCTCAAGTGCGGCGGTGCAACTCGCGGTCCACGCCATGCGAACCAAGCTTGATGGACTTGAACTACCTTTCGTTTACGGGAGACTTTTTTTTTCGGGGGGGGAGGGTCCTGGGTCTGCTTCAGCGTCAGAAAGGGGCCAGACGGATGATGCCCGCCACCTCTCCCAAAGTTTCATTGCCTCTGATTTTCATCATGTACCTTGGTACATACGCTCCTCCTCGGCCCACAAGGTGGCTCTTTCCTCGCAAGTTGTTCGCCGTATCCGGCCCATTTCTGTACCTTTCGTTAGCGGTTCAAGCGAACCCAGTACTCGCATCGGCGCCACGCTGACGTTTTACGTTTCCCTCCGTTCCTTCCTATGGTGTGCTACGAATCGATCAAACGTTTCATCACAACGACAACGACGATGACAACGACCTTACAGATTGCCATTTTCTGGGCGCAGCACGCCCTGATGCTACTAGCTCCGTTCCTGCGACTGACGGTGGGGACGCGGTGGCTGTACAGGTGAGGTGTGTGTGGGGGGGGGGCGGTTGTACTCATGGTCGTGCATGCCGTAGGCGTTAGACCTTGAACTTCGCATCCCTACAAAGCCGGGACGGAGCACGCCGGGTTCTCACCGGATCAGGCTCTCACATCACCAAGCGCGAAGCACCGTGAGGTATTCGGCGAGCCGCATGAAGGGTGCGCTGCATCCTGCTGAGGGTGTTCGGCATCTTGTGCTTGCTGGCTTGCATACAGATGGCAGCTGCGTATTATGACTTCATTTATATTCTGGTGCTTCCACTTCCAGGGACAGTTATGAGCACTGTAACTGCCTCGAGGGTGCTCGACCAATTTAAGTCAATGTGGTGCGATCATCCCGTTTGCGCGGAAGGAGGGTTCTCGACCCCGCACAACATAATCTACTCGACCACCATTCATGGTTACCAAAAAAAAAAAACAGAGGCAAGCAAAAAAGCGGTAACCTGGTTGCCGAGCTCACGAAGTGATTGGCTTGGTTTACAACGTCGTTGCCAAGCGACGAAAACCCAACCCCGATGTCAAACACCGG